GAGAAGGCCTTTTCCTTTCCGGCCCCCCCCCCGGCGCACCGCCGAATATCGGCCACAATCGGTGTCTGGACCCCATCCGCGGGCCCATCCGACGAGGTGTTTCGCCCCAGATCGATTTTCGGGGGTCCTGGGGCCCGAGAGCAGATGATCTTATCGGTGCGCCCCCTGCTCCCCCCCCCCTCGGTCGCCGCCGCACCGGGCCGCAGCGGCATCCGCCGCTGCGCGAGCCCCGCGAGGGGAGCGCGCCGATGCGCGCGAGCCGCGGGGCCCTTCCTTGCGGGGACGTGCTCGCCCGGCCGAGCGACTGTCGCTGTGGCGGGCAGGCGGGCACGCTGGTCGACGTCGCCGACCGTGCTCTGGCGAGGAGGAGCAGGGGGAGAGAGGGGGGAGGGCCGAGGCCTCGAGGTCGACGTTCGCAGTGTCTGGGCCAGCACATGCCTCTTGACATTTTGTCGGTTGACTTGTGTGTTGGCTGTTCGCATGACGTGACTACTCCTTCGGGTGGGAGAAGAACCCCATGCGCTTAGAAATGCTGGAAAGGGCGCCCCGTCTGGTGCGGGTCGTGCCTCCGAGGCGCTCTTGCTGAAACACTGGCCTGCGGAAGCGCGCCAAATGATGGCGTCGGCGTCTGTAGAAGTGCCCACGCCCCCCCTCTGCCAGGACATTACCTTTCCTAGCAGGGGCCGGCGCAGTCCACGCCTCGGCGCTGCTTGGGCGCCGATGCCGCGCGCGTCGAACAACGTCAAAAATGGCCCACAGTGGCCCTCACAACTCCCCGTGCTGCCTCAGCTCCAGGGCAGGCGCCTGAAGCAGTGCGACGCCCAGAAACGCGTGGTGGCGCTTGGTCTTCGTCCGCCCGGACTCCGCCAGGGACGCGCCACCGCACCAGGTGCCCTGGAAGTGCGCGCAGATGTCCTCCAGCACCCTGTAGCACTGCCCCGTCGGCCAGACGCAAGCTGCACCGGGGTGCGTCGCAGCGCACTCGGTGCAAGCAGTGCTCACGGGGGGCGCCGGGGATGGCGCCGGCGATGGCGCTGGCGTCGGAGTTGGCTCTGGCGAGAGCAACGGCGACGCCGTGGGGGGCGCGCCACCGCACCAGGTGCCCTGGAAGTGCGCGCAGATGTCCTCCAGCACCCTGTAGCACTGCCCCGTCGGCCAGACGCAAGCTGCACCGGGGTGCGTCGCAGCGCACTCGGTGCAAGCAGTGCTCACGGGGGGCGCCGGGGATGGCGCCGGCGATGGCAATGGCGATGGCGCTGGCGTCGAAGATGGCGCCGGCGAGGGCATCGGCGACGCCGTGGGGGACGGCGGGCCCGCCGTCGACGACGGCAGAGTCGGCGGCTGCGCGCTGCCGGTCGTCGTGGGAGTGATTGACGATGTCGCCGGCGCCGGCAGCGTCGGCCTGGGCGCCGAAGTCGTGGACGGAGCCTGCGTCGGCGGCGCGGTGGGGCGCGCGGTCGGCGCGGCCGTCGGCGCCTGGCCAGGGCGGCCGCCGCTCACCGTGCAGTGGGGGGACGGGCAGTTGCTGGCCGGGTGGCCCGGGCACCAGGTGGTGAACTTGGGGTCGTTGCACCAGGCGCTGCGCGAGCAGTCGGTCTGGTGCACGCAGCCGGCGCCAGGAGCGAGCGTGGGCGCAGGCGTGGGCGGCGGCGTGGGGGCCGGCGGCGGCGTGGGCGCGAAGGTGCCGCTGCCGTCCACGACGCGTACGTCAGCGCAGTTCTTGAACTGCTCGCCGCACTCCCTGGGGGGCGCCTGCACGGCGGGGCAGTTGGCAGAGGCGCTGGCGCCTCCCCACCACGCGACGGCGTTCCAGCCGCTCCTGGCCATCTCCCTGAAGTAGCAGGCGTAGGCGTCGCGGTGCGGCGTGCAGCTGTTGGCGCTCATCCACCACCACTGCAGTGTGCAATTCTGGCAAGTGAGGTTGCTGGGGATCCAGTAGTGGAACCTGTACTCGGACTGGCCGGGAGGAGGCAGGTACCAGTAGCCGGGGTTGGCCTCGTCGTATGGCTGGCAGTCGCCGCGACTGTCGTTCGGGCCGCAATCCGAGTGCACCTCCTCCGGCCTTGCGCGCTTCAGGACGTGCTCGTTGAGACAGGCCTCCTCCGCCTGGAACCCGCCAGAAGTGCCGTCGAGATGCCTGTCGCAAAGTCTGAAGACGAAGTGCCCCTTGTGGTGCGCCGTCATGCGGATCGCGAACTCGGCCAACTCCCCGGCGCGCAGCTCTGTCACGGGACCGGACACGTCCAGAAACTTGCGCTGGCCGCAGGTGGGCAGGGGCAGGCTGGAGGAGCCGAGGCACTGCGGGCAGTACCCGTTCAGCGGCTGGTTGAACGCGCCTCCGCGCATCGCGGGCTGCGTGATGTACGCGTGCCCGTTCGCCAGCGACAGCAGCGATCCCAGGAACAGGGCAGCGGCAAGCGGCGCTGGCGCCATCACTCCGCGGCAGCGCGGGCTTCTAGCAGCCGAGCGGTGTGAGGCTGCGAGACTCCAAGCTGGCTTGAGCCAAAATGACTACGGACCTCTTGACAGTAGGGACAGAGGACCAGCCTGCCTGCGAAAGTAGAGCACTTCCCCCCGTGGAGGGTGCGACGCTCGTTACAAATCAACCAGAACCACGCGCGCTTCGCGCGCGCTTAAGTTCTAGCAAGCTCCAGGCCGTGACAAGTTCACAGATCCTCTGAAACAGTTGCCCGCAAAGGGCATGAACATGAGGCACACCGAAGCGTCAATAAAAACGAGGACCGAACAGAGATCAATTACAGACAATGGCATACCCATACAATGCAATGCGAACCAATGCAGAGCAGCGAAGAGGATGTTCAGAATGGAGTGCCCACAATGGCACTGCAATGCAACGCAGTGCCATGACAACCAGATGCGAGCGCCATGCAGCGAGAAGCATTGCAAGCAAAAGCTTGAAAAGCAGATGAAAGGCAAGGCAATGCGATGCAATACAATTAAATCCAAAGCAGAGCAACGCTCACCAGCGCAATACCGTTTGCGAAGCCATGCCTGCGCACATCCGTAGGAAAGCAACCAAGTGAAAGACAATGCAATCCAATGCACAATAACGCAAGAGGCCGTACGACCCCGAAAGTTCCCGAAACCTCAAAGATCGCAGGGATGAGGTACGCAAAATAAGTGCTGGATGCCCCTATTCCGCCGTCGGTAAACATCCATGTGACTCTAGCGCACCAGCTCGTCCTTCTCCTCGTCCTCCTCCTCCTCCTCCTCCTCCTCCTCCTCCTCATCCTCCTCCTCCCTCTCGCAATCGATCCTTCGGCCGGCTGGCTGGCCCCGGCCGGCGACCGTTTAGAGTGCCGCACAGACTTCTTACGGGGAAAGGCAAAAGTAACGAATTCCCCCCCCCCTCCTCAGGCTGCCCGGCAATAACTGTCACAGGTAGCCCCAGGTCCATCGGCCACGCGGCCGGGACAAGCTATATGTTTTCTAAGTTGGCCCTGGGGGCGCAGGATTTGTCCGCTCGCATGCGGCGGTAGTCTGGAAGCCACGTCAGGCCCTAATCCTCTGAAGTCTAGAGCATTCTCCGTGGAATCTGCATGCCCACCACCGGCTTTTCCGTATCCCACTTTTGTGGGATTGTGTTGCAGCTATTTCAACGCATTTCTCCCAGCACAAAGCCTAATCTGGCCTACTCTGGAACTGGTGGCACTCTCAGATTCTGGGCTATCGTCTGTTCCCGCATTGTCCCTTTCAGCTCTGCACTTGCGCTGCCATCTGTTTCAATACCTCTGAGATTTTAAATGCAACGCCGCCTTCCCAAAATGCATTGCGAGGTGCTCACGATCTGGCTCAAGACTTAACATTTCTGGCATCGCGCTGGAAAGTGATCCCCGACAGAACGCGTTGCGAGCCTCGGCAGCAACGCCGGCTCGTCACACACTTGTCCATCTACCAGGGGGGCTTTTGGGAGCCTCGTGGGGCCTCTTCTTTTGAGCCTCTTGGGAACCTCTTTTGGGTCTCCTGGAGCCTCCTGGGGGCCTCTTGGGGCGGAAAGCTGGAATTGTCGACTCGTGTCCCCCTCTTGGGCCCCTCTTGGGGCCGCCCTGAGGCCCTCTTGGGCCGTCTTGGGCGCCTTTTGGGCCGTTTGGGGGCCCTCTTGGGCCGCCGTCGTGGGTGCCTCTTGGGGGGCCTCTTGGGCCCACTGTGGGCGAAGTTGGAAGCTTGTTTAAAAAGTTTTGGAAAGTCGGACTTCAGAAAACGGGAACACGCGACACACATTGAAAAACACACGGGAAATCCATGATTTGGGCATCTTGGGGCCCTCTTGTGGCCCTCTCGGAGGTCCTCTCGGAGCGCTCTTGAGGCCTCTTAGGGGCATCTTAGGCCATCATGGGGCCATCTTGAAGGCTCGGTGCGCTCTTGGGCCGTCTCGGCGGCCTGTGGGCGTCCGCTGCGGGCGTCCGCTGAGGGCCCTGGAGGCGCAGGGAACGCCCTGGAGCGTTCGAAAGGAGCGCCGGCGCCGGGGGAAAGCGGGGGGCCCAGTTTGAAGGGGGCTGGAAGGCCCAGCCAACAGCTTCGCCTCAGGCGAAGCCAAGCTCCCGCTCTGTTGTATCGTAGTAGCGAGAGTCCCACTGCAAGAGAAGATGCCATCTCAAGTAAGAGGGGATACATTTTAGTCTCGATAGCGATTGTGTGCCCCGCGGTGAGGCACAGTCAAATCTAGGCGGCCGGCCGCTTGAGCGAACGCCTTCATGCAACGTATCCAATGTATCCAAATATTGCATAAGTGCGACAGATTGTAATGTGTTGCATTATTATGTCTCCCCCCCAAGAGCCGTCCAAGACGGCCCTCAAAGACGCCAAGAGACGCCCAAGACGGGCCCAAGACGAGTCCCCAAGATGGCCCTCAGAGACGGCCCTCAAAGACGCCAAGACCCGCCCAAGACGGCCCTGAGAGACGCCAAGAGACGCCCAGGACGGGCCCAAGACAAGTCCCCAAGACGGCCCGAGAGAAGCCCCCAGGCGCGCCGGCGGTCCTCCCGCAGGTCCGCGATGGCTGCGCCGTGGGCATCCGCAGCCGGCGCCCCAGCGCGCAGCTCCCTCACGGCGGCGACTGCGGCTTCCAGCCTCTCGCCCTGCCGCGCGCTCTCCTCGAGGGATGGGGCGGGGGGGGCGCACATGTTCGGGGCAGAGCCGGGCGGAGCCGGGAGCCTGAGTGCCTTCACGGAAGCCGAAGTTGCGAGGACCTCCTGGGCGAAAACACCACTTCCTGGGATGTGAGCGTTTGTTATTCAGCGTTTCGACATCGGGCGGATAGGGGGGGAGGGGGGGACTGGTTCCGGACCCCTGCTTAGCGCGACTGTTTGCAACAGGGCGTCCATTACGGGAGAGACTCCACCTGCTCGAAACAGGCGCCGAAAACAGCCGAGGGGAGGGGGGGGGGGCGAGGGCTCGCGCCGATCGGCAAAACAATGAATAAAAAAACGATCACGATTCGGCACTGGATTCTCACAAGACATGTCACCAGATTCAGCAGACTGCACGGAAACGGCGCCAGGAGCCACGATCGGGGGCCCCACTGCCAGGGGTCAGATTGACGCGTGTGGACGAGTAGAGTCCCTCAAATGATCCGCCGCCGTGCCCTCTGGCACATTGAGGAGTCGTAGCAGAATGCCACGTGCAGTCTGATAGGAAGTCGTCTGAGGGACCCGCCCCCCTCTCTCGGGGCCCCCACGCGTGCATCGCCCCCCCGTCCTGAGGCTCCCTGGGAGACCCGGCGCTTCCCTGAGCCTCTCCAAGGCCTCCAGGATTCCCAAAGGTGGCTCCCAAGACAGCCCAGGAAGGCTTCCAAGGCCGCCAAGATGGACCAAAAGGCGTCCAAGACAACCCAAGGTGGCCCCTATAACAGCCTCGCGGGCATCAGATGCGGCCCAAGACGGCTCCAACAGGACCTCCTCACGAGGGCCCGAAGGCCTAGATCACCGATGGCCCTTACTTGTTTGACTGCTCTTGGTGTCAGGCTTCCGTCAGTCCAAACTGGCTTCGGCAGCCTCCGAGACGGCCCGAGAGGGGTCCAAGACGGCCCAAGAGGGCCTTAAGATGGCCCAAGAGACGCCCAAAACGGCCCTCAAAGACGCCCAATGAGGCCCCAGGACGGCCCAATAGCCGCCCAAGACGGCCCTCAAAGACGCCAAGAGACGTCCAAGAGGACCCAAGACAAGTCCCCAAGACGGCCCGAGAGAAGCCCCCAGGCGCGCCGGCGGTCCTCCCGCAGGTCCGCGATGGCTGCGCCGTGGGCATCCGCAGCCGGCGCCCCGGCGCGCAGCTCCCTCACGGCGGCGACTGCGACTTCCAGCCTCTCGCCCTGCCGCGCGCTCTCCTCGAGGGATACGGGGGGGGAGCACGTATACGGGGCAGAGCCGTCGTCTAGTTGGTTTAGCTGCCTGTCTTGCTGCCTTGCTTGGCTTGGCTGGCCAGAGCCGCCGGTCTCTGTGACATGCCAGTCACAGCGCAGAAGAGTGACTGCAGATGCGAGCGAGCTGAGCGGTTGTCCAAACAGCTGAGCCTATGCACACACGCTGGGCCCCGAACTACATGCCCAAGAGAACAGGACGCATTAGCAAATTCTTCCAAGCAGCAACTGGACTCTGCCCAACAGACGACGCCGTTCAAAGTAAAGGCTGCCAGAATTAGTCGTGCGCTGACATACGTGCCCTGATGAACAGCTGCTGGCCAGGTCGCTTGCCACCCAAACGAGCCGACGTTGTCGAGCTCACCTGCTGCAGACGACTCAGAAAACACCCAGACGAGAACCACAGAGATAACACGCCAGTGGCGATGTCCAACGGCACCCATCGGCCACGGCAGCAGGCCCCCCCAGGCGCGCCGGCGGTCCTCTCGCAAGCCCGCGATGGCTGCGCCGTGGGCATCCGCGGCCGGCGCCCCGGCGCGCAGCTCCCGCACGGCGGCGACTGCGGCTTCCAGCCTCTCGCCCTGTCGCGCGCTCTCCTCGAGGGATATGGGGCGGCGGGGGGGGGGGGCCGCACGTGCAACGGGCAGAGCCCGGCGGAGCCGGGAGCCCGAGTGCCTTTATGGAAGCCGAAGTTGCGAGGACCTCCTGGGCGAAAACACCACTCCCTGGGATGTGAGCGTTTGTTATTCGGCATTTCGACATCGGGCGGACGGGGCGGGGAGGCGTGGGGATGGGCGGGGGGGGCCCGGCGCGAGGGGCGAAGGCGGGAGGCGGAGCGCGCGCTGGAGGGAGAGCGGCCTGGAGGGCCAGGGGCACAGGAGGGCGGGGGGAGGGGGCGAGCGGGAAACTGGCGCGGGCGATGGACGGATGGCTTCCGTCGGCGGACTGGGTTGCTGCTTGCCTGCTGCGTGCTTGCTCGGCTGGCGTGGTCCGTCGGTCGGTCGGCCGCTTGGCTAAGCCGGCTGGCTGGAGCCGGCTGGCTGGATGCCTTCGGCTGCTGCGAAGTTGACCACGGAAACGGAGTCGCTGGGTTCAGTCGGAGATGAGACACTGCTGGTCCATCCCTGAATAAATGACGCCCACCCCCTTCCCGTAGAAGCCAGCAATTTTGGCGCGGAACTGACCACTGTATAAGATGTGACTGCTCCGACGGTGAAACTATCTGCACCGCTCTGGGAATCCAGTGCCAGGGAGCCATTCATTCAGGACGAGGGCATTCCGAGAGGTGTTTGAAAGTGCAGTGAGCACACGAGATGGAAGCAGCAAGTGGCAGCGCAGCCGCTCATCCAACAAGCGAAGGCGTCTCCACGAAAGGCGTAACAACCTCACAGCCAGTGTCTGTCAGACTGCCCTGCAAAGGCCGCACCGTGCCAGGGAATTCGGGTCGGACGAAAGGCAACGGCTCCGCGCGCGTGGCGCCATGAATGCGCGGCGGAGGGGGGGCCGAAGCGCCTGCATGGAACAAAACGGGCACAGGGGTATAGTAAAGGGGGGCCAGCGAATCAGCTCACCTGGATGATTTTCCCAGCGCCGACCGGCGCTGGCGGCGGAGCCGAAACCAGCTGCGAGCAGCAGATGTATTGTCTGACCCGAGCGACGTGCTGAAAGAGGGAGAGGGGTCCTTGTAAACTTTGGGGATCTTCTGCCCAGGGTCAATCCAGACCCAGGTCAGTCAAGCCTTGCAAACTCCTGCAAGACCCTGCACCCAAACCCGGGTCAATGCGAAGGGCCATGCAAAATCCTGCAGGATCCTGCACCCAAACCCGGGTCAATGCGACCCTGGCCCTGCGGGATCTTGCAAGATCGGGCGCTCCGGCTGACCCCCGTTTGCACTGACCCCCGTCTCAAGGCTCCCGAAAACTGCGAGATCGAATGGCCCCAGCAATGACCCCCCCCCTGTATTCCGATGGGCCTGTGTTCCACCACCACCACCAGAAGTTGGAGGGGGAGGGGGTCCTCCTCCTCCTCTTCCTCCTCCTCCTCCTCCTCTTCATCCTCCTCCCCCTCCACCTCCTCCTCCCCCCTCCTCCTCCCCTCCCCCGCCCCCCTCCTCCTCCTCCCCTCCTCCCTCCTCCCTCCTCCTCTCCCCGCCCCTCCCCTCCCCCTCCTCCTCCTCCTCCTCCTCCTCTCCTCCTCCTCCTCTCCACCTCCTCCTCCCCCTCCTCCTCTTCCTCCTCCTCCCTCCTCCTCCTCCTCCTCTCCTTCCCTCCTCCTCCTCCTCCTCCTCCTCCTCCTCCTCCCCCCTCCCCCTCCCCCTCCCCTCTCCTCCTCCTCCTCCTCTCCTCCTCCTCCTCCTCTCCTCCTCCTCCTCCTCCTCTCCTCATTATCCCTCTCCTCCTCGTCCTCCTCCTCCCCCTCCTTCCCCCCTCCAACTTATGGCGGTGGTGGGAAACAGGCCCACCATTCATCCCCCTCGGCGCACGTTGGCTCCCCGGCCGCACCTCTCGGGCCTCCGGGGCGGCCCTGCGGGGGACGGCCAGAGGGCGCCCCTGGATTAGGAGCTCTCGTCGAGGCGAGGCTGCAGGAGAGCAGTTCCCGAGCCACCGAGCACTCGCTCCGCCCCTCTCGGGGATGGACAGACCCCCCTTCAGTAAAACGTGGTTTAGTGAAAACGACCTGAGGCCCAAACCTGGCGGGCGCAAATCTGGAAAATGACGGCCACGGCGCCCTCTCGAGAACCGAAAACGGACAATTCACTCATCGACGTGTCACTGTTGGGGGTCCTGTCCACCCCCGACACTCCCCTCTCGACAGCCCTGATGGCTCGGGAGGGTTGGACGCACGAATCACCCGGGATGACTGCGATCCGGGGCAACTCCGGCCTGGGCTCCCGAGGCGCGGACCTGCAGTTACCCCTGACCGCCCCCCTGCCCTGTTGACTCGAGGCTCCGACCGGGGTCATTAGGACACCGGAGGAAGAGAGGGACAGAGTGAAAGGGTGAGTTCCACCTAACGGGGCCCAGGGACACACGAACAAATACACACACAAATCCCAGGATTCTCAATATTTTCCAACATTTTCTGGATTTTCGTCTTCCCCCCACTTCCCATATTTTCCTACATGTTCCTGGGGGTCGTCGATGAATTGTGCCCGTGTGTTGTTTCCCCTCCTGACACCTTGAGGCCGAAGGAGGGAGGGAGGAGGCAGAGAAGGGGAGGCGGGGGGAGGGAGGGTGCGAGGCGCATGGAGGGAGGGGCGCAGAGGCGAAGCAACGGCGCCAGCGGCGGCGGCGGCGCTGGCACGGGCGGAGACGAGGTGGGAAGCGGGAGGCGGAATCGGGCGGGCGGGAATGGAGGGGGAGACCTATATTGGGGGCAGCAGAAAATCCACCCAGATAAGAACCACCCCGACACGCGAAGCCGTTCAGTGAACGCACCCAAAAAAGGAATTAAACAGGGCAAGGCTATTTAGTAAACGCCAAGGGCCCTTTAGTCAACGCTTATTGTCCGGTCTGGGTGGCTATTCCTCCATTGGCTATATTTGGGGTGAAAAACTGGGCCCTCAAGGAGTCCCCTTTTCTTCACTTAGGTCACCCCCCATTACCACCCGCCCCATGGGAGGAAGGATCGGATCGACTCGGCAATGGGGAGCGTCGAGAACCACAGCGCCGTGCGGGGCCTTCATAAGGGGGCCGCGAGGTTGGAGAGCAGAACTCTCAGAAGCAGTATGGACAGTATTTGTATGCCGCGCTGCCTAGCGTGGGAGCAAGGAGGGCGGAGGGAGGAAACACAGAGGGAGGCGGAGAGAGGGAGGCGTCGCCGTCGTCGTCGACAGCGACGACAATTACGACGACGATTACGATGTCGAAGACGACGACGACGACGCCGCCGCCGCCGCCGGCTGGCGGCGGCAGCCCGCCAGAGGAGCCAGGCGGCACGAAAACGCCAGAAAAAACATGTACGAAAGATGCCAGGACTGCAACTTGATGCCGCGATACTCAAGGCTACCTCGAGTCAACAAAGGACAACTCAAGACCTGAAATAGGTCGCCGAACTAGAAAGCATCGAAAGACATCCTCCGCTGCTTCCTACTCCTCATCCTCCTCCTCCTGCTGGGTCCTCTACCTCCACCGCCTCCTCCCCGTCACCTTACCCTTCATCCGTCTTCATCATCTACTTCGTCTTCTCTGTCTCCTCCTACTCCTTCTCCTGCTCCTCCCCCTCCTCTTCTGCCATCTCCTCGTCCTCGTCCTCGTCCTCGTCCTCGTCCTCCTCCTCCTCCTCCTCCTCCTCCTCCTCCTCCTCCTCCTCCTCCTCATGTTCCCTCTTCCCTCCCCATCTCCCCTTCGCTCCCCCCGACTCCCTCCTTTCCTCTCCCCTCGCTCGCCCCCTCACCCATCCCTCCCTGGAACCCCTGGAACCCTCACAGAGCCCCCTCCCGCCACCCATCCCCCCCTCCCTCGTCCCTCCTCCCTCCCCCTCCGCCCCCCCCCCCCCATCGCCCGTTCCCCCCTCCTGCCTCCGCCCTTCGCCCCTCCTCCCTCAGCAATCGACACAACATGAATGCTGCTCTCCTCTCTCCCCAGATGACGTCCGGAAGGTATCCGCCTCCCCTCCGCGTACTGTTTTCTTCGCACATGGGATTCCCAGGAGTTGGGTTTTCGCGTGGGCTTGTTTTCAAAAAAGGTGTTCCTGCTGGAACGTTGGCCTCATTTTCGGTCTTCCGCTCGTTATGAATCGTGCTCCCGCTGCAACGCTGGCCTCATTTCCAAGCTTTCGCTCGTTCCGAATCGTGATCCCGCTGAAGCGCTGGCCCCATTCTGCGCCTCCGCTCTTTCCGGATCGTGCTCCCGCTGCAGCGCTGGCGTCATTATTTCCAAAACCATGCCACGGCATGCAATGCAAGGCTATGTGGTGTTCCGCTATACGATGCCATGCCGCAGAATCCATTGGGAGTGATTACACATTCGGTGTCGGTTCGTTGATTTTGAGGGCTGCGGAAGCCCGCCCCACTTAGGGGCGTCGTCGTTTTCAGAAAGTATCAAGCGGGAGCCCCGTTTCTGCTTTGAGAAGACGACGTTGAAAGCCGAGCCAGCGGATGCTCTCCATCAGTCCCGCCTTGTGTGGAGCTTTGCGGGAAACCCAAGGTGCTAGACATGGAACCACGACTCCAGACCAGCCCAGACCTCTCGAACACGGTCCACTTGCCCTCCAAGGAACTCGGCGCCATGCCATGACATGCTGTGCGGCGTTGTGTTCTGTGCCGCTGTGCTATGCCATTATTTGCGTTGCAATGATTTGCGATGCCGTTCTCCTCTACGCAACACCACGCCATGCTATGACATGCTACGCTCTGCCGTGCTCTTCTACGCCCTGATGTGCAGTGCTTTACGATGCATCGCGCACCCTCTCGCGACCACTGCTCTGCTCGACATCCGACTGTGCGAATAGAGAGGAGATCTACGCCAGGGTAAGCGATCGATCGGAGGGAGGGGTAGGACGTCAGATATGACGCGCGCGAACCTAGCTTGTCCCTCCCCCTCCTCCTCGTCCTCCTCCTCCTCCTCCTCCTCCTCGTCCTCCCCCTCCTCCTCCTCCTCCCCCTCATCATCCCCCTCATCCTCCCCTTTTAGGGCGGGCTGGGCGCTTCGCCTGAGAGTTCCTCACGAATTACGACTCTGAAACATAAAAAGTGGCAACAATTTCACAGATGGAGGGCGGGTCGCTTTCAAAATGGAAATCTCGCAGTACAGCCGCGCACATTCGTTTAAACATTTGCCATGGTTTCACGGATTGAAAGCGGTTCCTCTTCAAAATGTGGCTCTCGCCTTAGCGACGCGCACATTCGTTTAAAAGAATTGCAAGATCTTCACGAATTGAGGGCGGGTAGTTTTCAAAATGTGGATCTCGCATTACAGCCGCGCACATTCTTCTTTAAAGTTATAAGAGTTTCACGGATTGAGGACGGCTCCTTCTCAAAATGTGGTTCTCGCCTTTAGCGCCGCGCACACTCGCTTTAAAAATGTGCGAAGGCTTCACGGATTGAGGGCGGGCCGTTTTCGAAATGTGGCTCTCGCCTTAGCGCCGCGTATATTCGTAAAGATTTGCAAGAGCTTCACGCATTGAGGGCGCTCTTTTTCAAAATGTGGCTCTCGCCTTGGCGCCGCCCACATTCGTTTGAAAAATTGCAAGAGTTCTATGGATTCCCATGAGCGACGTACCGGAGATGGTGTTTTGGACGGATTCTTGATTATGCGGGCGCAACAATTATGTTGGCTCGCGGTGTGAAGTCCCAAAAATGCCGTTCTGGCACGATTCGGGACTGTCAAGACGCAGCAGTCAGGTTGATACGTGGCGTTGAAATCCCGAGAGCAATGTTTTGGCACCCTTCAGGATATTCAAACGGTTGTCTTCGAACGAGGCAGTTCCCTCAATGGCAATGAACCGTTGTAGGGGCCTACGAAGAGGGAGCTTGGAGGGAGGGTTCATTCCAATATCGTTGATGACTCTTGGGTTTACACTGGTCCTCCTCCTCCTCCTCCTCTTCCTCCTCCCTCTCTCCCTCCTCTCTCCCTCCTCTCTCCCTCCTCCTCCTCCTCCTCCGCCTCCTCCTCCTCCTCCTCCCTTCGCCTCCCCCCCAACACATACACACACACACACACACGCCCGCTCTCCAACACCCCTCGACGGCCGCGGCGCGCACGCGAAGGGCGGGCGCGAGGTATCCTGCTGTAGGCCGGCGATGGCGGCGTCGTGGAGGTCGACCACCAGCGTGCGGGACTGCGGCGGGGCGCGCCCCCGCCCAGAGGGGCCGACGGCAGCGACGGCGACGAGGACGACGGCTGCGACGGGGTGGGAAGGGAGGGGAGAGGAAAGGAGACGCGCGGACCGCACGCCACCAGCAAGAGGCAAGCCTCGAGCTGGTGGTCCGGTTCGATCAGCGCCCAGCGCACGCCAAGGCGTGGGCCGAGCGGGCGGGCCGCCCCGCCTGCCTGGCCACGTCGTGCGCCTGCTTCCCCGACACCGTGGGCGCCAGGTAGAGGCACGCGTATGCGGCGGGGGAGGGGACGACGGGCGACAGACTACAAGGGCGGCCCAGGAAAAACAAAACGAGTTTAATCAGACGACCCAGAACTCGCTCCATCGGGAACGGGTTCGGGAGCACTGGCCGCTTCCAGCGGCCTAGCACTATCAGCACTGTGGGGCTCCTCCGCACGGTCAACTCCGCACTCGGCAGCCCCAAGAATCTTCACGCCCGTTCTAGGGTGACACCCGCGCTCCAGACGTCTGATCGACATTCTCTGGTTGGCGGCCGTGCTCGGGACTTTGGACCTCCCTTTACAACGCTGCGTGAGGTTTCGCAGCGAGCCAAGAGATCCGTGAGCCCCGCGCAATTTACAACAGTACACATGCAGATGACGGAACACGTCGTGCCCAAGGTCCCGAAATACAGAGAACTCATCTGACGGCTCAGGAGTGGCCACAGGAGTCGGGGGACCTTGGAATTCATCATTGCACACGCGCTGAGCCTCGTCAGCGGCGGCCAGAGCAACCCTCACCGCTTCAAGCTGCACGGGCCTAAAAGCCGCCCCAAACTCACGAAACCACTGGTCGCACACGTGTCGCTGGATCGATGACGGAGAGCAAACACTGTAGTCCCTGCTGTGAGCAGGCTCTTGAGCGACTCTGGAGTGCGAGCTACGCGGCCACAGCTCCTGCACTTGTAAGTGCTGGTGGCCTCGCAGCGAAACAAAACATGGCTGGTGACCGTGACCTTGGGAGGGGCGGGGGCTCTCAGGAGGCGGAGAGGACGCTCGGGGTCGAGGTGAGTCCACGTGCCTGACTCGAGCAAACGCTGAGCAGCCCACGCGATAAACCGCACCGTGGACCTATGATATTTTAACTGTCCTGAAACCGCTGCACAGAAACCTTCAGCAAGCGTGTGAGAGCTGGCCCCTAGTTTGGCGAAAAAATCAGCCCACAGGTTCCCAGCCCAACTTTTGATGCACAGCCCACGCTCCAAAACGTCGTCAAAACTCAGATGGGCAGGGAACCACGAGAACTGGGGGTGACTAGACTTCAAGTCAAAAATGGACCTCCAGATCGACGCATGCTTGGACATGCCTTGAGACAGATGCAGGCTCCACGAGTTGCCTTCGCGTACTACAGCCTGGAGGTCCGACACAATACACTGATGCTGGGGGTGATAAGCTAGACCCTGCCGCACTGCCCACCTTTCAGCACGACCTATGGTCTGACGCTCCCCTGGAAGCGCACCATATACTGCCCTCAACGGAAGCAGACAATCGAACAACTGCACAACGCTCCAACCAGCTCTGGAGACCTCTGGGACCCCAGAGTGAAAACAACTGCCGTCAGTGAAAGACAGAGGGCCCCAAGGCCCTGAGACGTCCCCGAACTCGAAAATGGGGGGGTTGGCAAGCGGAGCGGGAATATTAGTGGGCAGAGGTGGGATACCATAAGTTAAATAATTAGAGTGCACATCGGGCTCCCCAGTGATGGAGGCCCGAGACTCAATCAGAACACGCCTATGCTTAGCTAAGGCCTCAGGAACCTCGTCACCCAGCGCGTCAATCCCGTCGTCAGTGATGAACTTAGAACAGGCATACCACACGTGTCCGTACGTACCTTGAGGAGCGGAGCAGGCAAGGCACGCAGGTGGTACGTCATATTGTAGAGCAGAAAGTGCAGCAGGTAGCGGAATAACATTCCCCCAGACGGCCGCCAAGGCCCCAAGAGCCCGCTGGTCTTTTACAGCACGTATACCATTACGTAACGCACGAAACCAAGGCTCTCCTTCTGGAGGGTCAGTATTATAAAGATGCAGCTGCAACCGACGAATCTGCCACCGCTGCACACCTTCAATAATCGCAATACGCACGTCACTTGGACACACCACCAGCAGCGAAATATCTGTACCAAGATCGCTGCGAAAGGTGTGGGCATTGGTCATCGTCCAGCCAATGCGAAGCAGGCTTAGCCACACCGCCGACAGCGGACCTCGAGCCTGCTGCCACGTAGGGTTGTCGGACATGATGTCTCTCAGGCGGGTCCAAGCACGTTGCACTCTCGATAACTGCAACCTTCCGTCCCAGACGAACGTGGCGAACTTCACACACACACCAGTAGTGGAGTCGTAGATCGGGTCGTATTGCGGATCAGCCTGCGTCAGCAGATACGAGGTAATGCCACCGTGCTGCTTGGCCCCTGCGATCGTAGCCGCAAGCTGCCTCAAATACTTCAGCGCAGTGTCTGAGATGCCCGACACTGATCCCCCGTGTCCAGCTGCTGGGAGAGCTCCAGTCCTCCACAGTCGGGTTGCACGCTTGCCAGTAGCATGTTTCAACGCAACGAACTTGTCACGACGACGTTTGAGAGCCTGCAACCTTTTCTTCTCCTGCGTGCGAACAACCCGACCAGCAGCCAATTCATGCCCGAGGTTTCTCATCCACTTGCGAACTGGTAGGCGCAGCCGAGCAGCCATCCTCGAGAACACCTTCCGAGCCACTGTGTTCCCTGCAATGAGCCCCGACTTCTTGACATTGGAGTGGAGCCCCAGGACCTTGGCATCTTCAGTGAACACTTTCACCGCACGTTCCAGGAAGCGGACGTCCCGAGGATCCGAAGTGACGAGCTGAATCGATATGTCGTCGACTAGGGCTCTCGGTGTGATACAGGGCGAAATGTCATTGAGCCTACGCACAGCACGCAGCGTGAGAAGGAAAAGCATGCCTGTCGCATGATTGCACCCTGCAAGGATGCCTTGATGCGAGCAGAACTGCACAGATAGACTGCCGAAAGCTCGAAGACGCCGTGGCTGCCTGTACAGATCCACCAGCATCCAAGCTAGCCGCATTGGAAAGTGCAAAGCTTCAGCTTCTCTCAGCAGCTGCTCCGAATGCACCATCTCGAAACATTTGATCATATCTACGAGGACAGAAATGGAGATATCACCGACCAGCGCCGCCGTCTCGGCAGCGATGTTATGAGCAAAAGCACTGTCTGAGGAGCTGAAACCACGACGAGTCCCCCAAACAGCGTGGCAATCATTACGCTCCTGCCAGTCGAAGGTGATGGGCTTGCGAACTTTGCCCCAGATACGGCACAGCAAAGAGACGAGCGCGATCAGTCGAGTCCCACCATCTGGTTTGGCGAGACGACACATCTCATTGCAAACTCGCTCCCTGGGCCAAGCCAGGTGCAACTCGCAGAGGTTAAAGAGTTCTGCAATCGCCGAGAAAGCCTGTCTAGGCAGGTGTATTAAGGCTCTTGGGTGAATCCCCATCATGCCTCCAGCAGTGCGAGTGGGGTAAGTGTGAACGGCATCCTCCACCTGAGCGGCCGTGATGCGCGGCAGACTGGGCCAGCTGCTGGACCCCCGCGGAACCTCGAGAGCCGAACAACCATGGGACAACCAAACCTCCCTCCAGGGATCGAGTTCCGCGTCGGCCTGCTGGTGGGGAGCCTCACGCGCCTGGTTGCTTAAAACCTCTTGGATGGCCTTTACCTTTGAGAACCTGTGAGCCTTCGAGGCGCCAGCAGAGAAAGCATCCCTGGCCCATTGCCTCCAGGCCTGGGACGCTGCATTCTCCGCGCGGGCGATGGCAGACTTCGCCCGAATGTAGATCTTCGTAAGCATACTGGCAACGTCGGGACGTGCAAGGACGGCGAAGCCGCCATTGAAGAAATCACGCACGTCAGAGTCAAGGCAACCAAGCACTTTTTTACAGCGGGCAACGTTGGCCATGAACCGACTGAACTCCTCAAAAGCCGAAAGAAGCTTGCGACATTGGCGAGGCGCAGCAGCACAAGGAGCTTCGTAAACTTGCAACAGCCTGATTTGCTCACTAAGATGTTCTCTGGCCTTGCCAAGGTGTTTGGCCCACCCAAGAGCGACAGCCCAGGCGCGTGCCTGTGGATCCTTATAAGTCCTCCTTCTGGGGGGAGTCCAGACAAGCTTTTTGAACTGGACCTCAAGAGGCCCACTGCGGCCCACGTAGGCCTCGGCGGCAACGCCAACACGGTCCCACCTGGCGGCCAGCTCTCTTTCCACCCCTTCGAGGACCAAATCCCAAAAATCAGCAACTTTGGCAACAGAATCTACCTGCGGGGCAGCGGTCGTAAGAACTGCGTGCCACGGATAAATCGGAGGCCTAGCACAGCCGATGGGAGGGGTCGACGGGAAAGCTTTCGGGACCTTGGCAACCCGAGCCCACACGGGCGTCTCCCGAGCCCTCAAAGTCAGCTGGACGGGGAGGTGAGGGTATGTGGTGGCCGCCTCCAAAACGCACGTGCAGGGGTCAAGCTTTGGCGCCAGCCAGCTGCTGCAAATGAAATAATCTATGTGCGTGCCTGGTGAAACCTGCCTGCAAGTGGGCGCCTCAGACACGAAAGCCAGTCCTCCAGCCGCCGCAATCCAGTCGGACTGGTCCAGGGCGGTGAGCGGCATGTTGAAATCGGCGCCGATGATCCACGGAATCTGCATGCCGTTGAGCACTGACAGGTACTCGATGATCTCCCACACCAGCTCGGCATTGCACGGTCCGTAACCTTCACCGTCCTTGAGATAAGCCGACAGGAAGACCACTCCTCCAGGCAGAAATGACATGACGTGCACTGCCACCAGCCTGCCAGGGACAAGTACATGGCTAGCGCGGCCAGGAGGCGCCTTGATGGGAATGTGTGACCTGACCAAAACAGCAACTCCGCCAGCAGTGCCCGACCCTCCATCTTGGTTGGGCACTGCAGGGCCCCAAAGCCCTCTCCAGCCAGTGTCTTCAACTTGCGACTGACGTTCACCCAGCTTGGTATCAGGCACATGATGCTCTTGCGCCAGCACCACATGAGCGGTGCTGTCCACCAGGTAGTCGCACAGTGGACCCAGCGAGCTCGAGTTAAGCGTCACGATCAGAGAGTCGCTTTTGCCCTTCGCCTGCCCAGCAAACTTGACATCAGGTCGACGAACCCCTGGACAGTCGGTACCCTCTGCCACGCGATGCCCAACGGGCGAACGTGGTGAGCAGTGTTTTTTGTTCCATCCACCAAGAGGCAGAGTTGAACTCTCCGCGCCGTGCGCGGGGCCGGGGAGCAACGGTGCGAGGGTCACTAACGGCGCACCGCCGGGCAGTCCCCACTCGCACCGCGCCCCCCGCTGGGTAGACAAACCCACGCCTGAACGTGGTGAGCAGTGCGTGCTGCCAGGGTCTAAAGGATGTATGCCATCGAGTCGCCCAGTCGAGCCATCAACTCTCGTCGAGCGAGGGGCCGACCACGTCAAAGCGCACGGTGCACATGTGGCGCTCTCTGCCTGCCCCCTGAGGGCAGGTAAGTGTAGCGACCGAGACGATGGCGTAGCACCCGTGGTCGCAGTAGCTGCCCTTGCAGAAGACGCAGTAGGGGCATTCTGAGCACATGGCCCAGGCAGATCAGGCTGACTGTCCACAGCTTGATCAAATTGAAAGGGGTCAACGTCAGGATCGTCCAGAAGAGAACTCCTGTGAGCTGTGGTCGGCTCTTCTTGGGCAGTAGGCGACGTCATTGCAACAAAAGGATAGCAAAGACAGAACATCACCACAACAAAGCACCCGACCACTTTACGCAGCGGTCGCACCACTGGTCTTGAACTTCTTGGTGAGCATGTGAACTTGGGCCAAGTGACGCTTGAGCTTGTCCCGTAACTCACGCTCCTTTGTATCGTCAATCTCCTCATCATCCCCGCCCACGTCGACGTCGATGCCACATTCTTTGAGATGTTCACGGCAAGTGCGACCGTCCAAGCTATCGACATGAGCATTAGCACGATCCTGATCTTCAGCGTCGTCGGTATCCATGGACTCTCGAGCCTCAGGAGGAGTGGACTGAGTTTCGTGCTGAGGCGGCTCGGGCGCGACTGCCGCCTCTGGGGCTTCCTTGAGCTTCTGCACCAGAGCGCGCATGGCGATGAGATCGGCACTGAAACGCTCCGAGCCGCCCAGCGCGCGGACCACGGCGTCAAACTGCTCCACCGTGGCCTCCATGCCTGGTAAGAATGTGGAGAGGGATGGTGACTTGTCATCGAACTGCACCGCGGGACCGACCACGTGGCGCAACCTCTCCTCGAGCTCCAGGATATGTTTGTTAGCATCATGCTCATCCTGCTCGACCTGCGCCAGGGCCAGCTTGGCCTTCTCCAGCGTAGCTCGAGCAGCCTCTTTTTTGACAGCAATACTGGATAGCTTCGTGCGAGCGGTCTTGAGCTGGCTGGTGAGCCCCTGCAGATTGGCCTCGATCGGTTTATCAGCCTGGAGCTCGGCCTGCAGTCGCTGCTTCTCGGCCTCATACACCGCACGCTGCTCGGCATCTTCAGGCCCCGACAGGATCTTGAGGAGGCTACCAAGCTTGGCGAGACGCTCACGCTTGACCGCCACTCCAGTGCCTTTAGCCCAGGGAGGAATGGCGGGCTCCTTGGACTCCAACTCCGTACCATTGTGACTTCCAACCAGCTTCTGCATGCGCTGCTGCAACTCCTCCAACTGTTTAGCGAGAAGCTTCTCCCGCTTTGTGACCAATTCATGAGAGCGCTGCACTGGAACTTTGGGCGGGGGCACCCCGTGAAAGGCGGAGCCTTTCGGAATGCCGCACTTCCCGCACCACTTCTGATCACCACGGTTGATCCAACTCGTTGCCGTAGGCTCATGCTTGCACCATTTGCAGTACCATGGGCCAGCCTCTGTGCTGCGCGACCTGGGCGCCATGGCAGGTCGGAAGAGCACGCGGCAAGGAGCCACGCGAGGCAAAGCAACAGGGCCGTGGTGGGGCTGGGCCGTGCGGGGCGGACCGCACGGCGCTCTGCCTGGGGCGAACCAGGCGAATGTCGAAAGCTGGCCGCGGACTAGCGGTATCCACTTTGTTCCCAGGGGAAACCAAAACCTTGAGCCAAAATGGCTACGGAGGGAGAGGAAAGGAGAGGGGAGGAGGGAGAAGAGAGGACGGAGATAAGAGAGAAAAGAGAGAGGCCTTCGATGATACGGGAGACCCGCCGTGTTCGAGGACGGCTTGAAGTGCCCTCCGGGGGGGCACAGAGGGACAGGGGAGGGAGGAAGCAGGAGGCGGTGGGCAGGAGGCAGGAGCTGAGAGATGCGGACCAGGAGGCTTGTGGCAGGTAGATGGAAGGAGAAAGGAGAAAGACAGAGAGAGAGAGAGCAAGGAAGATGGCCCCCTACTCTCATTAAGGACTGAACGACTCCCGCCGTCCCTCGACTCGCGAGGGAGCGGCCACGAGTTGATCAAAATTTCCCTGGAGGTCTCTGGCTTCACTTGGATGTACCACGATTTACCTGGATGCACCTCGATAATTATAGATATATATATACATGTCTCATGTAGATGTTTACTTATGTGTATTATCTATATATATATATATATATATATATATTCAGTTATACATATAGATGTATGTATATCCACAAATCGATTGGCGAAACGTCAAACCCCTGGGGGACACTCGCCCACCTCCCCCGCCGCCCTCCCCACCCGGGCGGCCTGCGCATTCCCCAGGGAGGGGCCAGTAAGCCGCCACGTGTGAGCCCCCTGCCCCTGCGGGCCGGAATTTCTTGAAGCGCCGGCAGAAGCTCAGAACTCGGAGCACCTCGGCAGCCAAACGGAACCTCGGCGGGGGTGTCCGATACAGCAATCCAGCTGCCATGAGAGAAGGAGCGCGAAGTAGGGAACAAAGCGGCTCTTTTTGGCCACGGCGAGCCTCGTCCACGGATAGGTCCCCCGACCAAATCCACTGAACGGACCGAAAATAAGTCCTCCTCCTCCTCCTCCTCCTCCTCATCATCATTCCTTTTCCATACATATATATATGTATATATAATTTCTCTCTGTCGCACCTCAACGCAAGTTCTTAGTGCAGGCTGGGCGTTTCGCCTGAGACTTCCTGATCAATTATGACCCTGGAGCTTAGAATATGACAACAGCTTCACAGATGGAGGGCGGGTGGTTTTCAAAATGTGGTTCTCACCTTAGCGCCGCGCACACTATTTTTCAAATTTTGCAAGAGTTTCACGGAGTAAGGGCGGGCGGTTTTCAAAATGTGGCTCTCGCATTAGCGCCACGCGCATTCGTTAAACAAATTGCAAGAGCTTCACGTATTGAGGGCGGGTGGTTTTCAAAATGTGGCTCTCGCCTTGGCGCCGCGCAAACCCGTTTAAAAAGTACGCAGGGGTTTCACGGATTCCCATGATCAACGTACCAGACATTGAGTTTTGGAAGGATCCAAGATTATGCGGGTGCAACAATAATGTTGGTTCGCGGCGTTGGAATCCCAAAAATGACGTTCTGGCACGATTCCGGACCGTCAAGACGCAGCAGTCAGGTTGATACGTGGCGTTGAAATCCCGAGAGCAATGTTTTGGCACCCTTCAGGATCTTCAAACGGTTGTCTTCCAATGAGGCAGTTCCCCCAATGGCAATGAACCGTTGTAGGGGCCTACGAAGAGGGAGCCTGAAGGGAGGGTTCATTCCAACATCGTTCATGACTCTTGGGTTTACACTGGTCCTCCTCCTTCTCCTCCTCCTCCACGTCCCCGCTCATCCTCTTCCCCTTTGGTTTCCTCCTCCGCCTGAGCACAAAGCAGTCATGATTGCAGCGTCTGGACTGGACCCCAGCACAGATTGGGCCCACAGGGGTCTGCTGCGCGGCGCCCACAAAAAGGGCGGCCCGAGGGGGGCGGGCCGTGCGCAAGGGGTGGGGGGGCCACCTTCTCAAGAAGTCGGAGTGGCTTCTCAGAAGGCAGGGACCTTCTTAGAAGGCTCCTCCTCCTCCTCCTCCTCCTCCTCCTCTTCTTCCTCCTCCTCCTCTTCTTCTTTTTCCTCCTCCTCCTCCTTCTCCTCCTCCTCCTCCTCACTCCCGCTCCTCCTCCTCCTCCTCCTCCTCCTCCTCCTCATCTTCCTCCTCCTCACTCCCTTTTCCGCCTCCTCCTCCTCCTCCTCCTCCTCCTCCTCCTCCTCCTCCCCCTCCTCCTAGCACAGGTGCCCGTTTCTGCCCACCTCCTCCTCCTCGCGTCTCTGGAGGCCTCTGAAAAGGCCTCTTGGAAGGCTGGCGGGGCTTCTGCGCAGCTGGGGCTGCATTCTCAGAAGCCGCGCCGCCTTCTTACCGACCCCCTCTCGCGCCACCCCCTCGTGGGCGCCGCCAGGTAAGGTTCGCAACTGATCGCGGAGCTCGGGGCTGGAGCGCGGCGCCTTCACCGCCTCCAGGGTGCTCAACGCAAGCTCCACGCGCTCGGCCCGCATGCCGCTTTCCTGGCGGCCGCCCCCCCCCCACCCCCTGGTCGGGGGCTTTGCCGTAAACCCTGGCAACCCCAGCCTGTCGAGTAGATGACGATAAGGGGTAATGGGCCAGTGGGCACAGGCTGCTGCGACAAAGGAGGGAGCGAGAGGAGACGAGGGGCAGGAAACCAGCTCAAGGATGCAGATGAGGACACGCCGCAGGACGCGCGCGCGCGCGACGAGAGAAACGCGGGAGGGATGTCGCGGGGGGCAGAAACGAGTGGATGTCAGATTCGGAGGTAGGGCGTGCTGCTGAACGGTGCCAGCTGCCTGCTCCATGCATCCTCCATCATCAGTTTCCGCTTCCTGTCGCATCCGGCTTCGCTTTGCGATGCGAGCTGCGAACTGCTCCTCATCATGATCCTCATCCTCCTCATCATCCTCATCCTCCTCCACGCTCCTCCTCCTCCTCCTCCTCCTCCTCCTCCTGCTCCTCTACCGCCTCGTCCCCGCTCCTCCTCCTCCTCCACCTCCTCCTCCTCCGCCTCCACCTCCTCCTCCGCCTGCTCCTCCTCCTCCTCCTCCTCCTCCTCCTCCTCCGCCTGCTCCTCCTCCTCCTCGAACTCCACCTCCTCCTACTCCTCCTGCTCCTCCTCCTCCTCTTCATCCGCCTCCATTCATTTTCCGTATGATGAACTTCCCCTGTCGCACCCCAAGGCCAGTTTTTGCTGGGCATTTCGCATGAGACCTCCTCACTAGGTATGGATATGAAGCTTGGAAATTGGCGACCGTATTACAAATGAAGGGAGGGTGGTTTTCAAAATGTGGCTCTCGCCTGAGCAACGCGCACATCCGTTTAAAACATTGCACGAACTTCACGGGTTGAGGATAACCCGTTGTCAACATGTTGCTCCCGCCCTAGCGCACATTCGTTGTAAAAATGCAAGGGGGTCACATATTGAGGGCGGTTATTGTTCAAACTGTGGCTCCCGCATTTGCACCGCGCACATGCGTGTATAAAACTTGCAAGAGCTTCACGGATTCAGGATACATCGTTTCCAAAACGTGGCTCTCGCCTTAGCGACGCGCGCATTCGTTTTAAACATCTGCAAGAGTTTGACGGATTGAGGTCGGTTGGTTTTCAAAATGTGGCTCGCCTTAGCGACGCGCACAGTCGTTTATAGCATTTAGAAAGGTCTCACCGTTTCTCATGATCAACGTACCAGGAATCGCGTGCTGGACGGATTCTGGATTTTGCGGGTGCCACAGTAACGTTGATTCGCGGTCTTGAAATCCCAAGAATGGCGTTCTGGCACAATCCAAGATCGCCAAGACGCATGAGTCAGGTTGACCCGTGGCGTTGAATGCCGAGAGCAATGCTTTGGCATGCGCCAGGATCGTCAAAAGGGTGGCTTCCAACGAGGCAGTTCCCTCAATGAAAATGAGCCGTTGTAGGAGCCAATGAAGAGGGAACATGGAGGGAGAGTGGATTCCAACACCGTTGATGGCGCGTGGCTATACACTGGGCATCCTCCTCTTCGTCATCCTCCCCCTCCCCCTCATCAGCATCATCAGCATCATCAGCAGCATCAGCATCAGCATCAGCATCAGCATCATCATCATCATCATCATCATCAGCATCATCATCATCATCATCATCATCATCATCATCATCATCATCATCATCATCATCATCACCATCATCATCATCATCATTATCAGCACCGCCACCACCACCACCACCACCATCATCATCATCATCATCATCAGCATCATCATCATCATCATCAGCATCATCATCATCATAATCAGCATCATCATCATCATCATAATCATCATCATCATCATCAGCATCATCATCATCATCAACCGCATCATCATCATCAGCATCATCATTATCAGCATCAGCATCATCATCATCATCATCATCATCGTCAACAGCATCATCAACATCATCATCATCATCATCATCATGCTCATCATCAACAGCATGATCAGCATCGTCATCATCATCATCAACATCAGCATCATCGTCACCATCAACATCGTCGTCAGCATCATCATCAGCAGCAGCAACATCATCATCATCAGCATCATCACCATCACCACCAGCATCATCTTCATCATCATCATCATCATCATCATCATCATCATCATCATCATCATCATCATCATCATCATCATCATCATCATCATCATCCGCATCCACATCGTCAGCATCATCAGCAGCATCAGCATCATCACCATCATCAGCATCACCATCATCAACAGCAGATTCATCATCAGCCCCCTCCTCATCCTCCTCCTCATCCGCCTCCTCCTCCTGGACGTCCCCGCTCATCCTCCTGTTCGCTGGCTTCCCCCTCTTCCCGTTGCTCCTCCTCATCCCCCTCCCCCACCTCCTCCTCCTACGCCTCCTCCTCCTCCTCCTACGCCTCCCCCACCTCTGCATCCTCCTCCCCCACCTCCTCCTCCTCCTCCTCCTCATCCTCCGCATCATCATCCTCCTCTTCCTCATCCTCAGCCTCATTCTCCTCCGCCGCCTCCTCCTCTTCCTCCTCCGCCTCCTCCTCCTCCTGCTCCTCCTCCTCCTCTCCCCCTCCTCCTCCGCCTCCTCCCTCTTCATAGCTCTCCTCCTCCTACTACCCCCTCCCCACCTCATCCTCCTCCGCCTCCTCCTCCTTCTCAGTCACAGCCTCCCTCCTCCTCCGCATCCTCTCCCTCCTCCTCTCCCTCGTCCTCCTCATCCTCCTCATCCGCCTCCTCCTCCTAGTCCTTCTGTTCCTGCTCGTCCTACTCCTCCTCCGCCTCATCCTCCTCCTCATCATCATCAGCATCATCGCCATCACCATCACCATCACCATCACCATCATCAGCATCGTCATCATCAGCATCAACATCATCATCGCCATCGTCAACATCATCAGCAGCATCATCATCATCAGCATCATCAACATCATCATCATCATCAGCAGCATCATCATCATACGTTGCCAATATCCTCCTCCTCCTCCTACTCCTCCGTTATCCTCATCCTCCTCAGCCTCCTCCTTATTCACACCATCCTCCTCGTCCTCATCAGCATCAACATCCTCATTCCCCTCCTCTCCCTCCTCCTCACCACCGCTGTTCCTCGTTCTTCTTCCCCCTCCCCCTCCTCCTCCTCCGCCTCCGCCGTCTCATCACCTTCCTCCTACGTAGTCATCCTCCTCCTCATCCTTCGCCTCCTCCTCCTCAGTCACCGCCTCCCTCCCTCCTCCTCCTGCCCCTCCTCATCCAACTCATCATCATCATCCTCCTCCTTCTCATTCACCGCCTCCTCCTCCCCCCCCTCCTCCTCCTCCTCCTCCTCCTCCTCATCCTCCTCCTCCTCCTCCTCCTCCTCATCCTCCTCATCCACCTGCCCCTCCTCTTCCTCCGCCGCCTCCTCCTCCTCCTCCGCCTCCTCCTCCTTCTCTTCCTCCTCCTGCTACTGCTCCTGCTCCTGCTCACCCCCTCCGCATCCTCATTCCCTCCTGCTCATCCTTCTCCTCTCACCGCCCTCCTGCTCCTCCTGCTTAGCATCGTCATCCACCTCCCCATCCGCCTCATTCATCCGCATCCTCCTTACCAGCGTCGTCATCATCATCATCATCATCATCATCAGCAGCATCATCATCATCAGCATCATCATCAACAGACGCATCAGCATCGTCAGCATCATCATAATCATCAGCATCATCATCAGCATCATCAGCATCATCACCAGCCTCATCGTCATCCTCATCATCGTCATCATCATCACCATCATCAACCTCATCGTCAGCAGCCGCATCAGCATCAGCATGAGCATCAGCAGCATCAGCACCATCATCCGCATCAGCATCAGCATCAGTGTCATCATCAGCAGCATCAGCATCAGCACCATCAACAACATCATCACCCTCAACAGCAGCATCGGCAGTCGCAGCATCACCAGCACCATCATCAGCATTATCATCATCATCATCATCATCAGCAGCATCGTCGTCCGTGTCATCAGCACCATCGTCAGCATGATCAGCAGCACCATCATCATTATCGACAGCTTGAGCATCATCAGCAACATCGGCATCATCCGCATCATCACCATCGGCAGCATCATCGACATTATCAGCAGCATCATCGTCATCGTCATCACCATCAGACATCAGCATGCGTATCGGCGGCATCCTGATCATCAGCATCATCAGCACCATCATCATCAGCACCAGCATCACCAGCACCAGCATCGGCATCAGCATCGTCATCATCAGCATCGGCCTCATCATCATCGTCATCATCATCATCATCATCAGCAGCAGCAACAACACCATCAACATAAGCATCATCAGCATCATCAACCGCATACGCGTCAGCATAATTGGCATCAGCATCAACATCATTGGCATAACCAGCATCAGCACCATCACCAGCATCAAAAACGGCATCAGCAGCAGTAGCACGAGCATCAGCATCAACACCACCATCAGCACCATCATCATCATCATCATCATCATCAGCATCATCAGTATCATCATCAATATTATCAGCATCATCATCAGCATAATCGCGAGTGTCATCATGAGCATCAGCATCAGCAGCAGCATGGCTATCATCATCATCAGCAGCAGCAGCATCAGCTACATCATTACCTCTTCAGTATCGACAACAGCATGACCATCATCCGAATCGCACGAGGAGAGTCATCAACGTCGTCGACATCAACATCGCCATGCTCCTCAGCATCTGGAACATCATCCGCATCATCAGTATCGTCATCACAAGCATCAGCGTAATAAGCATCATAAGCAGCAGAAGCATCATCATGATCCGCATCATCATCACCACCAGCATCATGAGCAGCATCATCAGCGTCATCAGCATCATCGCATTCGTCGTCATCATCAGCAGCATGATCAGCATCAGCATCATCATCATTATCATTGGCATCAGCATCAGCATCAAAGGCATCGTCACAATCTCAGCATCAAGCGCTTGAGCATCGTCATCATCAGCATCAACAGTATCAGCATCTTAAGCAGTAGCATCAGCCTCGTCGTCAGCAGCAGCAGCATAAGCATGATCAGCAGCAGCAGCATCAGCATCATCAGCGCGAAAATCAGCAAATGCATCAGCAACCTCAGCATCGACACCATCACCATCATCAGCATCAGCATCATCAGCATCATCATCATCAGAATCATCAGAATCGGCATCATCAGCGTCATCGCCATCACCAGCTTCAACAACAGAATAATCAGCATTAGCATGAGCATCAGCATTAGCACCACCATAAGCATCATCATCAGCAGCATCAGCATCAGCATCATCAGAATCGGCATCATCAGCAGAATCGTCATTGTCATCGTCGGCATCAGCATCAGCAGCAGCATCGACATCATCATCATCATCAGCAGCATCATCACCATCAGCATCATCATGCTCCTTTCAGCATCGACAGCAGCATGATCATCATCATAATCGACGTCAGGGTCATCATCAACGTCGTCGGCACCAGCATCGTCATGCTCCTCGGCATCTGCACCATCATCCACATCATCAGTATCGTCATCACAAGCATCAGCATCATCAGCATCATAAGCAGCAGAAGCATCATCATGATCCGCATCATCATCACCACCAGCATCATGAGCAGCATCATCAGCGTCATCAGCATCAACATCATCATCATCATCATCATCATGATCATCATCATCATCATCAGTTTCGACAACATCAGCAGCATGATCCGCCATCCGCATCATCATCATCGTTATCAGAAGCAGCATCATCAGCATGAGCATCGTCACCATCATCATCAACAACAGAACCATCTTTGTCATCATCATCATCATCGGCATCAACAGCATCGTCATCACCATCATCACCAGTATCATCAGCATCGCCGTCGATGGCAGCATCGCAATGGTCCTCAACATCCGCATCAGCATCAACAGCAGCAGCATCATCATCAGCATCAACATCATCAGCGGCATAAGCAGTAACATCAGCCTCGTCATCAGCAGCAGCAGCAGAATCATTATCAGCAGCAGCAGCGTCATCATCCTAATCAGTAGCAGAGTCAGCATCATCAGCATCAACAGCATCATCATCAGCACCAGCATCAGCAGCATCATCAGCTACACCATCTGCTTCAGCATCGTCAGTAACGTCATCATCACCAACATTATCATAAGCATCATCAGTACCATCATCGTAGACATCCTCATCGTCAAACTTGTCAACATCACGATCAGCATCAGCATCATCAGCGTCAGCATCATTACCGTAATCAGTCGCATCATCGACATCGCCATCACCAACGTCATCCTCATCATCTTCATCAGCATCATCATAACCGGAATCGTCGTCAACATCTGCATTACCAGTATCAGCATAACAGTGTCAGCAGTAATATCAGCATCAGCCACAGCAGCATCCGTATCATCAGCAGCAGCATGATCATCATCATCAGCATCATCATCAACATCCGCATCATCATCATCATCACCATCATCAGCATCATCAGCATTAGCAGCATCAGCATCTTCAGCAGCAGCAGCAGCGTCATCATCATCATCATCACCATCAACCTCGTCAGCATGATCACCATCAGAAGCAGCATAAGCGCCATCCTCCGGACCAGCATCGTCAGCGTCGACATGATCATCATAATCATCATCATTACCACGAAGCATCATCAGAATCAGCAACAGCTGCATCGGCAGCAGCATCATCATCATTAGTATCATCGTCATCACCATCATCATCGCCAACAGCATCATCAGAATTCGTTCCATCGTCATCATCTGCATCAACATCATCAGCATCATCAGCATCGGCATCAGTCTCGTCATCCGCAGTCTCAACCACGCCGTCATCAGTATCACCAGCTTTACCATCATCATCAGCATCAGCATCAGCATCATCATCACCATCATCATCATCGTCACCTTCATCATCTTCATCTTCATCTTCAGCATCGTCATCATCATCATCATCAGCATCATCATCACGATATGCGCCATCAGCAGCACCTCCATCATCGCAAGAGCCAGAATCGGCGTCATCGCGATGCAATCGTCAGCGTAGTCGTGATCGTCATCGCCGTCGTCATCGGTATCACAATAAACGTCATCGCTATCACCTGCATGATAATCAGCATCAGCATCGGCATCGTCGACGACATCGTCATCAGCATCATCATGACCGATGTCCTAGTTTTGACCGTCGGCATCATCGACATCAGCATCAGCAGCATCAGCTACACAATCACAATCGGCATCACTGTCACCGCAAGCACAATAAACATGGCCCGTATCGTGATAAGCCGTGTCACAAACATAATAATCATGAGCAGCATCGCCATCATGAGCTCCAGCACCATCACCATCACCATGATCATCATTAGCATCGACTGCAAACTTTCTTCACCATCAGCATAAGCATCATAATCATCAGCATCACCATTACCGGAAACATCATCACCACCAGCACCTTCATCATCGACATCATAATCATCATCATCATCAGAAGCAGCAGTAGCATCATCGTAATCACCACCGTCGTCGTAGTCAAATTAGACGTCGTCATCAACATCCTCATCGTCATCATTAGTATCGCCAGCATCACGGCAACCCCTGCCCCATCGTGCGGCACTTTGCCGCGCTGGCTGCATCCTCGTCCTGCTCCTGTTCCTCAGCGGGAGGACGGCGGAAGAGGGGGGCGGAAGGGGTGGGGGGGCAGAGAAGAGTTGAGGAGGAAGTAGGGAAGGAGGGGCGGGGGGGGGGCCAGGAGGATGGAGGTGGACGGAGGGCCGTCCTCCTGCCTCCTCCTCCTCCTGCCTCCTCTTGCCTGCCTCCTCCTGCCCTCCGCCGGCGATGGCCGCGACGAGACGTGCGTCGCGAGCCCTCCTCGCCCAGGCAGCGCTCCACCTCGCCCAGCCGCCTGGCGAGGGACTGCCACGCGTCCTGGGCACCGTGCGGGGGCCACTGAACGGCTCCAGCAACGGCCTCCTCCTCCCCCTCCGCCTCCTCCTCCTCGTCCTCCTCCTGCTCCTCCTCCTCATCCTCCTGCCCCTTCCTGCTGCTCCTCCATCCCTGTTCCTTACGAGCAGCTCCTCTCCGCCGCACCACACGGCCCGTCGTAAGACTGGGCTGGGCGGTTTGCGTGAGGCATCCTGGCAAATTACTGCCCTGGATGTCTCGCCTTGACGCCGCGCACACTTGTAAACTTTTGAACCCATCACACGGACGGGGGGCCGTGTCGTGTTCACAATGAGGCTCTCGCCCTAGCGCCGCGCACACTCGTCCTCAGTGCTTGCGACAGCTGCATAGATGGAGGCCAGCTTCGTTCAGAATGCCACTCTCACTTGAGGCGTCCTCAAACAGAGCACCTCCAGTGTAACAATGCGCACCAGGTACAGGCATAGAGGGCAGCTCCTTTTCATCATGGCGTCTCTTCTGCATTATCCTCAACCTGGACGGCCAGAAGCTTGAACATGGGTAACAACTTGGTCGATGGAGGGCGCTTCCGGTGCAAGGTGGTGGCTCCTGCGAGCCCTTCTCACAAGACATGACAAGAAGTGTAGACTTGAGAAAACAAATAACACGCACGGGGAGGGTCTTTTTCTAAATGCCTCCCTCGCTTGACACGTCATGGAATTGCCTGACCCTACCTGGTCGCAAATGAACGGCAACTACATTAGAATACGGGGATCTCGACTGAATGGCGAACCCGTGGGGTACCCATCCGTGAAAAGGGCGCTCCTGATGTTGCAGCAGAGGGTACGCTGCAGCGTCGTTGGTGCACATTGGGTCTACATGGGTTTCCTCTGGTCCTGCTCCTCCTCAATGTCGTCACCATCGTCCCTCATACTCCTGCTTCTCCTCCACATGATCATCTACCTCACTCCTCCTCCTCCTCCTCCTCCCTCCTCCTCCTCCTCATCCTCCTCCTTATCGTGTTCATCATTCCTCCTCCTCCACCTCCTACTCCTCCTCATCCTCTCCTCCTCTTCGTGCGTTCCTCCTCCTCATCTTCCTCGTCCTCATCGTCCTGCTTCCTCTACTCCCTATCCTCAATCTTCTCCTCCTCCTCCTCCTCCATACATCTCCCTTGCTCTCCTCCTCGTCCTCATCATCCTCCTCAACCGCCCAATCCTCATCATTGCAGCCAACCGTCAGCATCATTAGCATCATTCTCAACAGCATCACCATCATCGTCAAGGGCAGCCGCATCATCATCATCATCATCATCATCATCATCATCATCATCATCATCATCATCATCATCATCATCATCATCATAAGCACCACCACCATCGTCATCATAGTCATCATAATCAGCATCGTCAGCATCATCGTCGACATCATCAGCATCAGCATCGTCGTCATCATCCCCGTCATCACCTCTATTACCATCATCATCATCATCATCATCATCATCATCATCATCATCATCATCATCATCATCATCAGGAGCAGCAGCATCATCATCAGCCGCATAAGCGTCAGCATCAGCATCATCAATATCAAAATCACCATCATCAGCAGCAGCATCAGCAGCGTAGTCATAGGCATCAGCATCACCATCAGCATCACCATCAGCATCAGCAGCATCATCATCATCCCCACCATCCATCATCTTCTTCATCATCACCATCATCATCATCATCATCAGTAGTGCCCCCATCCTCATCATCATCATAAGCATCATCGTCACCAGCATCATCATCACAATCAGCATCATCATCAGCATCATCAGCAGCAGCATCATGAACACCACCAGCACCATCACCAGCATCATCACCATCATCAGCATCATCATCACCAGCATGATCATCGTCATCGTCATCGTCATCGACAACAACATCGTCAAACAATGATCAGACAAGTAACAGTAATATCAAACATCATCATAATCCACCACCCTGTCTCTGGGCACGTAGTGGGCGTGCCCTCAAGGCAGACTTGAGGACTTGAGTCAGGTCCTGCGCATAATGCTCTAAGCTTCAATCGTCTGTGGAAAACAGCCTGTGGAAAAAAAACTGTGGACAAGAAAACACACATCCTGTGAAAAAAACTCGGTGGAAAAACACACAGACTTGTTCCACTGGCGTGTTCCACAGACTTTGTCCACACACTCCAATCTACCAGGAGTTCCCGCGGTTCCCCTGGGCTCCCCCGCGGCTTGTCGAATGACTTTTTCGGAGCCCCCGAGGCCCCAAAGGCGATCAAAGAGGGCCCCGAGTCGCCGAACGATCGCTTCAAGACGTCCAAGATGGCCCCCAGACGGACCAGGAGGCCTCTTACGAGGCCAAAATCAAGCCGGATGATGAAAGATATTGGCGTCCTCGTCTTTCGGCTAACCGACGCTCACAAACGGCCCTAGAGGCCTCAAATATCGCCCCAAGGCGGACCCACAGACCCACAAAAGGGCCCCAGAACGGCCCGAGAGGGCCCCAAGACGGCCCAAGACACCATCATCAGCATCGTCATCAACACCATCACCATTATCACTATAACCAGCGTTATCACCATCATAAGCATCTGCATCAGCATTTGCATCAGCATGTTCACATGCGTCAAGACCATTATAATCGTAACTAGCATCATCATCAGCAGCAGCAACGTTATCAACATCATCATCAGCAACGCCAGCATCATCACCATCATCATCATCAGCAACATCAGCATCCTCATCATCAACATCAACAACATCATAATAGGACTGGAACAAATTAGGCCTCCTGGGGTCCTCTCGGGGCGCAGCGTAGAGCCGGCTTAAGACGTCTCCGCGGCGATTACCTGTAATGCGGGGTCTCGTGGCATGCTTCTCGGGCGCCTCGGAGCGACTGTTGAACGTTCTCGAGCCTTGTTTTACAAGGCACTGCGCGACAATCTCCTGCGGCCCAGACTGGCATTGTTTAGTTCGCGACGTTAACAGCACATAGTGGCAACCACGGGGGCAGGAGTGAGGGGGGAAGGGAGGAAGCTTCAAGGAGGGAAGGACGGGAGAACAAGGAGGAGGGGGCAAAGGGGCAACGGCACTGCGCGACCGCCCCCTGCGCCCCAAACAGCAAGCTCACACTTCACAACGTCCAAAGCACACAGCAGCTGCCAAAGAGGAAGGAGCAAGGGCGGCAGGGAGGAAACAACAAGAAGGGATGGATGGGGCGGACGGGGAGGACGAGGAGGTGGACTTAAAATATGGCTGCATTTTATTGCGCGTTCTATTGCAACATGGGCGAGCATGCGATGAGTTTGAGATTGGAGACTATTTTCGGACGCACACGACCAATAATAACACGCGCGTGCAATGTGTGAGAGAGCTGTGCTACCTAAGCCGGAATGGCTACGGAAGGGGGGGGTGGAGGTTGCATCCCCGTGCCCTGAAAAACGAGATTCTGCTGCAAGTTTAGTCTCACGTGGACGTCCTTAAATACGGGATTTGGTGCACCTCGACCCTGCTTTCTCGCAATTATCCAAATGCGATTTCTTCGATCCCCCCATCCTTCCTCAACACATGGGAATTCACATTCCTACTGACTAGTGGATTGCATTCCTATCGGAGTAGGAGGAAGAGGAGGATAAAGAGGAGGAGGAGGAGGAGGAGGAGGAGGGACGGAGGTGGAGGGATGGAGGTAGAGGGGCTGAATTGCCTTTGTGCTTCGTGTTCTTACTGCATTCGCACTGTATCTATATTGGGGGAAAGGGGGTGGGCAGGGGGGAGGACATTCCGGTTGCACTCCTACTGGGTTCTTGTTGCACTCCCATTGGAAGAGCACGGAAGGAAGGAGGAAGGCAGGGAGGGGAAGGGAGGAGAGAAGAGGGGCGAACAGAGGGGAGACGCAGAGGGGGGGCCAGATGCGAAGCGAGAGGCTATCCCTCGCACTCCCTCCGCACAACGCAGAGCGGACAATGGAAGGAACAGCGACTACCCCCTGCACCCTCCGCGCACGACGCAGAGGAGGGAATGCGAGGGGGAATGGCTGTTTTCATGTTTGTTGTTCTCTCTCTCTCTCTCTTCCCCCCGTACCATTTTTTTTGTTCTCTCTCTCTCTCTCTCTCATGATCTCATTATCTCATTATCTTATTATCCCATTATCTCATTATCTCATTATCTCTCTCTGTCTCTCTCTCTCTCTCTGTCTCTCTCACTCTCTCTCTCTCTCTCTCTCTGCGCACCGCTTGCGCGACGCGGAAGGTGCAGGCCCTCGACGCCGCGCGCCCCTTCTCGCCCGAGGAGGGGCGCCTCTCGTGCCCGCCCGAGCCGAGGGGGGCCTCGGCCCCACCTGGAGGAGCCTAGGTCCCCCCCGCCGTGACACAGCCGTAGACGACGACACTCGGGTCGGGCGAAAGGGGGGGATAGCAAAGGGGGGGTTTGAGAATCAGCTCACGTAGCTGATTTTCCCGGCGCCTCCCGGCGCCAGAGGCGGCTATGTATCGAGAAATGGCCCCCACGGTGAGGCCGAAACCAGCTGCATGCAGCAAATTTCGTACCCCCCCCTTTCCCAATCCCCCCCTTTCGCCCGGCCCGAGACACGGGCGAGGACCATCGGCGGCTCGCCGAAGACCTCGGACTTGGGCCGCCTAGCGCCGCGGCCAGCAGCGCCCCGCCTGCCGCCGCAGTGGCCTGCTCGCAGCTGCCGTCAGCTGCCCTGCCCCCGGACCGCCGCTAGCTCAGGCTGGAGCCAGGGGGTCAGCTGCTCGAGCTTCTCTAGCATCTCGCCTGCCCAGATCTCCGCAGAGCAGGGGTTGAAGCCCGGAGCGACCGCCAAGGCCGCCAGGATGGCATCGCGACGACTCGGCCCAGGGCCCGCAGGTGGCGGCTGGGCGCGCCGCGCGGGGGCCGCGTTGTCCCACTCGTCATTCAGCACGTCCATCTTCTCGCCCCCGTCCTCAGCGGCGGGCTCCGCCGCCGTCGGCATGCGCACGAGCGCGAGGCCCATGGGCACACCACCAGCATC